TCATAAGCCATTTTTCACATCTTGGTCCACTGTGCCAGTGGCTCTCAGCCTTTCCTCCAGACATTGTTGGACTTCACTTCCCAGAATCCCCAACAGGGATGAGCAAGGTCAGGGATTCTGGGACTTGAAGTCCAAAAACATCTGGCAGCCCAAAGATTGAGCACCACTGTCTTATTAGACATTGACTTTAAACCTGTTTGGCTCCATTTTGGACCTGCCAACAGGCCTTGGGTGTCATCATTGTTTTTAAAACTACATATTATCACAGCCGCAGGTGCCAGGCCAAGGGTAAGAGTAACTTTCCGTTTCCAATATGAGAAAATTCTGATATTTCCAGAGGGCTTTTTATGCCACTTGGTGGGCATGGTGCCCACCACAATGGCACTGTCGAAGAATAAGACATATCCTAGCTTCGAAGATGGTGGCATGATGGTTCATCCATGGTTTCTTTCCCAATCCCAATCAAATTTAATATCTGTTCCCTGACTACGTTCTACAGAAGTTACCATATTTATGGTCAGTCATTTTGGAGATCAAGAGACAAGAGAGAACCTTATATCTCCCTGGGCAAACTCATTTGAAAATACGCCTCTCACAGCGCCTCTTCCATCCCAAAGCAGCAGATGAGAGTTCACACAATGCCAGTTCCAACACATTATTATTACAAATGTAGGTGGGAAAATTTGGTTTCCATTTGCAGCAAGCATAGTGAAACCAGATCATTCAGCTTCTCTGAGAACAGAAGCACAGACTGTCGTTTGGCAAGCCTGGAGATAAGCATTCGGGGACCAGGGACAAACATTCCCCGCTCCTAAAAAACGTTGGCAATGCTTTGAGAGATTACTGCTTGTGGTGTGTTTGTACACACACACTCTTACAAGAAGGAGAATGAAGTTTGACACCACTTTAAATGCTATGATTACATCCTGCAAAATGCTGGGATTTGTAGTTTTTTGAGTCACCAGCATCCTTTGGCAGAGAAGGCAAAATAAAGCACAAAGCACTGCAAAACAACAAATCCTAGGATTCTATAGGATGGAGCTGTAGCACTTAAAGTGGTGTTAAACTGCATTATCTCTACAATGTAGACGTACCCCAAGCCTCTTACAGGCTCCCTGGGTTTTCAATACTGTAGATTCAAATACCTGCTTGGCCAAAGGTAGGAAGGGTTACTTTTTTGGACTTTGGTCAGCACAGCCGTACTGACTGGGGCTTCAGGGAAGCAAAGTCCAAAAGCAAGCTTTTGGACCAAAGGCAAGAACAGGATGAGAAATTCATGCATCTCAGGAAACAAAGCATCAACTGAACCATTTTGAAGTCTCTTCTTAAAGGCAATTGTCAATTTCTCACCTTGGTGTATTGTCCATCACAGGACTAAGGACAAATGTGGAGAAGTAGGGAGAGATCATGGCATTACTCAGTTAGGTAACATCACCCATTGTCCACCAGCTCTAGTCTTAGGACAACAGTATAATAAAACAATTTAAGCATCATTCAGAGGTGTCCCAAATTCATGGTTTGGCATTAGGAATGAAGAGCTTAGTGCTTATGGTCTCTCTACACACATACCCAGTTCTCTCCTTCTGAACCCTTTATGTCCTTTCATCTGTGGATCACACATTTCTCTACAAACCAGGATCAAACTCTGGCTTTGTGTGAACTCAGTTTGCAAGGAAAGCACAAAGCACTACTTGTCCATTCCAACAAAAGGACAGGCTATGATTTATCACACATGCAAGATCCGAGGCCGGAAATCGTAACCTGCAGGAAACAACTCAGGGTTTCTTTGGGAATCAGTCACAATCGTGCAGATGAAACATTCAGGCAGCAGCAAAAGGTGAGCCATGGAGAGCAAAAGAAAGATGCCCACATTCCAATAGAGGAAACTCCCTGAAAAGATGCCAATGCAATTGATAAAGGTAGCAAAAAGTGTAACTGTGGCCCTGTCTGCACAGGGCAGGGTTATCCAGAAGCTGCTCAGAGTATCCTAGGCCGGCAGCTGACCCAATGTGCCCATGTTACCTGGCCCTCCATTCCTACACCGTGGAGGTGCACCTTGTTCTGATCTCCAAAGTGAGTGAACTGTGGTGACAACAGATGCTCCGGGCAGGTCAGCAGGATGCCCATGCAGACAGCCACCATAGCGTGGGAATAAAGGATTTTCCTGGACACCTTGTTCTGACCTCAGAAGTGAGTGACCACAGTGGCAGCAGACACACTAGGCAGCTCAGTGGGATGCCCATGCAGACAGACACCATGGTGCAAGAATGGAGGGCTCCGGATCTTCCCAGAGACCTTGTTCTGATCTCAAAGTTAGTGACCTGTGGACATGCCAGGCAGCTCAGTGGGATGACATTATGGACAGCCACCACAGCACCAGAACAGAGGGCTACAAATCTTCCCAGACACCTCATTCTGATCTCAGAAGTGAGTGACCTACAGTGGATATGCCAGGCAACTCAGTAGGATGCCCTTGCAGACAACTGGTGTAGCGCAGGAACGAAGAGCTCCGGATCTTCCCGGACACTTCATTCTGACCTCAGAAGTGAGCAACCCACAGTGGTAACAGAGGTGCCAGGCAGCTTAGCGAGATGCCCATGCAGACAGCCTTTGTGGCACAGGAATAGAGGGCTCTGGATCTTCTGGGACACTTCATTCTGACCTCAGAAGTGAGCAAGCAACAGCGGCAACAGATGTACTGGGCAGCTCAGCGGGATGCCCATGCAGACAGCAGCGGTGTAGGAACGGAGAGCTCCAGATCTTCCCGGAAGAGCCAGAGTAACAAGTAATTTGTTTAATGCATTGTAAGATTGTTATCTCCTGGTTTTGGTGTGGAACGGTCTGGACATTGTCCAGACTGCTTGCACCAGAAGTGGAGTTTGGGGCATGTTGTGTTGTCCAAACAGGATGGCGCCAGAACAGAGGGAGGAACTGTTCTTTAGGCCTGTGTAGACAAGGCTCTTCTTCCCTCCTCATACGTATCCTATTCCCACACTCAATGCAGTATTAAGGAGAGAACCTGGGGCAACTCCGTTGTATCGGTTAAAATGATGCCTGCGATCAAAGCGCAGTTGAATAGTTGCCATACACCTGATCCCACCCCAAACTAGTTATGCTGGCGAGATACAAAAGAGCCTTTCCCCTTTAAAGACAGGGAAGGAGTGATCTATAACAGGATGAGGGTGTTGAAAGATGGACAGTTAATCTTCATGAATGAAGTACAGTATATCTGTTACTGGCTGACCTGTAAGCAGACATGCCTAATTTTATACCTCTGGGAGAAAAGTAGAGTCATGTGAAGGGTTTGGAAGGCAGGACCTCCAATTCTGGGATTCAAATATACTGCTTAGAACCCAGGGACACAACCAACACCACAGTTTCAACAAATGAATTAACTGAGAACATTAACCAATATCTGCAGCTTCCAGCCTTGCAAGTTAATGAACTTCGCTAATGATCTAGAGCTGTACAATGATGGGATAGAAAGTCTTCATAGAACTCAACAGCAACAAATATTAATCATGAGACCTAGAATCTTGGCTCTACCTAAAAGTATAAACTGAAAGAGTAGTGGTAAACATAAACTTTCGGGCCTCTCAGTCTTGAAATACAAAAGCTGAGTAAAGCGTTAAGGAACAACATATGTATTTTGGCATGCAGAGCTTTGGAAAGTTGCTTTGTTAAACTACGACTCCCAGATTTAACATGCACACTGCAGAAATAATGCAGTTTGACACTGCTTTAACTACCATGGCTCAATGATATGGAATTCTGGGATTTGTAGTATTGTGAGATATTCACTTTTCTTATCAGAGAGCTATGGTGTTGCAACAAAACTACAAATCCCAGGATGCCAAAGCATTGAGCCATGGCACGTAAAGCGGTGTCAAACTGCATCATTTCTGCAGTGCAGCTTAGACCCCAGTCTCTAGTCAAAATTTTCAAATTTCCAAAACTCTGATTTTAGATATTAGGAGTTTATCTCATGGGACGAATCCTGTGTAGAAACTAGATTTAAAGTGAAAACAACCCACTTTTGTTATTACTTTTGTGGATTGTTTTTCACATGACATTTGGGGTTAACCTGAACAGAAAGTAGGAAAAAAACGCAAATGAGGGTTGTTTTTCAGACGACGTTTGCATGAAAGAAAAATAACGTGAAAATAACCCGAACGGAAAGCCGACAAAACCCACTCCTTTTCACTTTTGGGAAATTTCAAAAGTAGAAAGGAGTGGTTTTTGTCGACTTTCCATTCGGGTTATTTTCATGTTATTTCTCTTTCACGCAAATGTCTGAAAAACAACCCACATTTTAAAAGCCTGTTTCTGCACAGGATTTGCTTCCATGTGACTCTGTGTGATAAATTCCTTGGAAGTGAATAGGAGGAGGCTTGTGTTACTATTATTGTTCCTTTTTTATTTATTAGGAATAAAACCTTTGCTAGGTATACAGACCATATTATCTCATTTGTTCTCACAACTGCCCTGCCCTGCCCTGCAATGGTATCGTCCCCATTTTACAGGTGGAAAAATGGCCAGCCTAAATATCTCCACCTCAGGTACGGCGGGGGGCAGAATTGGTTCCAGATACCAGAATACTTGATGATGAAGATGATGTCCTTGAGAATGCACAGAGTGTTTTCCTTTAGAACCAGGTTTTAGCGTGTGCTTTGAGTGTTGGACTATGACTCTGGAGACCAGGATTCGAACCCCTGCTTGGCCATGAAACTCACTGGGTGAGTTTGGGCAAGTCACATGCTCTCAGCCTCAGGGGAAGGCAAGGGCAAACCTGCTCTGAACAAATCTTCCCAAGATAACCCCATGATAAATTCACCTTTTGGTGTTGTTGTGTGCCTTCAAGTCATTTCTGACTTATGGTGACCCTAAGGTGAACCTATTATGGTTTTTTTGGGGGGAGGATTTGTTCAGAGGAGGTTTGCCATTGCCTTCCCTTGAGGCTGAGAGCATGTGACTCATCAAAGGTCACCTAGTGTGTTTCATGGCTGAGCTGGGAATCAAACCCTGGTCTCCAGAGTCACAGTCCAACACCCGAGCCACTATGCCACGCTGGCTTTAGGTTTGCTTTAGGGTCGCCATAAGTCAGAAATGACTTGACACACAACAACAACAGTTAACCTTAATGCATCTGAGATTAGGGGAAGATGCTTCCAAGGAAAGGGTGTTATGCCATTTCAACATTTTCAATTTTTAAATGAAATTATGGGCCTGCAATGATCATCAAAGATTTCTTGATGGCAGGCAGAAGATATTGCAGATCTTGTAGGGAAGATGGGGTAAGGGCCCAACCATCTTGCCCAATGCTGACAGCAGCCACAGTGGGCAGATTTGTGGAAGTCACATCCTTTTGCCCTAGCCTACCTTGCAAGGTTGTTGTGAGAACAAACCAAGATAAAGCCATCCCAAGTTGCTGGGTGGAAAGATGGGGAATTCTCAATGGCTGGAGACTGAGACAAAAGATTTAAAGACTATCCTTTAAGCCCTAAATGTTGAAAGTGCTTCTGAGAATCCTTTTAAATGCACCTGTTCAATATTCTTTCCCAGTTTAAGGAAGAGATTACTCAGAAATACGCCGTTCTTATGGTCCCTTTGCAAGGTGTAAAATGCCACTTTTGTTCCTCCACACAACTTTGTATATGGATGCTCTGACCCAAGGTCTCCATGCTAGACTTAGCTCTGGAACGCACAAAATCATTACAAGGATACTTCTGAGCACCTACAGATAACATGGATCACCCTCAGTGAGTAATCACAGTCAGACACCATACATGCAAACACCTGGAATACGAGATTTACGCTTAGAAAGATTCCAGATACTGTTTCAGAAAATAAATAAACAAACACTAACCATCCAACAATCAGAACCTCCCAAAGATCTCGAAAGGAGACAAGGATTCCTGCACAGAAGGGCCCATTAGGTCTGCAAGGAGAAGAATTTCCTTCTTCTGTTAGACTTGCCAGTTTTAAGACACCTCCGGCCCTGTTTGCTTAATGAGAATTTTTCTGATGAATCCAATCACCAAGCAAAGCCGCCGTTCTTATGTCCAGAAGAACCAAAGGGCTCCATCCTTCCCAGGACCTCCCGCCGGTCATTCCTAGCCACAAGACCGGAACAGCAATCCCCGACATTCCTCTGCTAATCCAGAAACACACACAAAATAAGCCGTGCAAAACTGCATCCAAATTACAGGGAGGGAAAACTGAGGCACAGATTCAATACCATGTACAAATTAAACTAGTGGTAAGATTTTGGAAGAGGACAATGGAATTGGGAAGTTACCTCTGTCTCAAATGCCCCACACAACCTTTTTCTCAGGGACAGAAATTCCAAGAAGCCTGAACTCAATACTTCAACCTTGGATTTCCACATACCAGTATCATACCTCCCAAATGGCAAAAGAATATTTAATTCCTCATCCACATTCCTAAATTATCATCTGCCCACTAGAAAAAATGGCATTGTTTGAATCAGATTCCTCTGTTCTCATCAACAGGAGCAAATAAATAAATTATGTAACAGCACCATCATAAAACTGGAAGAGACCCCAAGGGCCATCCTCAAAACACTCCCAACAGATGACTATCCAGCCTCTGTTTAAACACCTCCATCTCGAAGACAACACAGTTCTGATGTGAATTAGCAAGATTTGGGTCAGAGAAAAAGTAATAAACCACTCACCCCCAAAGTTCTGGATCCGAACACACAATTCAACACCTACGTGGTTTTAGATGTTGAGCCAAACCTTGTTTTTGTACACTGGGTCTACACTGCTGAATTTTTCTGGCTGTTTTTTGATCTCTGTACAAACCAAGGCTAGCTTGGGAACTCCAGAAAAGTTTGGGTTAGCTGGACCTGAATGTCACAGAACTTGAAACAGATCTATAGTTGGAAAGGAATAGTCGTCTAAGTGTGGGCTAGGAAAAGCGGAGGAGAAAGAAGGAAGCGAAGGGCTGAAATTATTAAAGCTGCGAAAAGGAGACAGGAGGAAAGGAAAAGGAGAGGAAGAATAGACCAATGAAAATCAACAGATAGCAGAAAAGAAGGAAGAGTGAAAGGATGAGAAAAAGAAGGAATGCATGAGAAGAAGACGAGTAAACATACAAAGAGGAACACAAGTGTGTGCTAGAGAGAGGTATCAAAACAGCTTATGAAAAGTAAAGTAATAAACCCATAATGTTCATGAGCAAACAGAGAGGAAGGAGAAAACACAAAGCAGGGGTTACATAGGAAAGAGAAAAAGTACAAAAAAGAAAAAGAAGAGAACAGAAAACCACACAAATAGGAAAGTCATAGAAGAGGAACGCAGGGAGGAGAAAGTCAAGGGTAGATATGGGAAGAGAGAGGTCCTATCAAGGGGAACAGGGAGCCAAGTGCCGAAGCGGAGGAGGAACATGAACAGAGAGATGGGTTGAAAAAGAGAAAGCACCAAGAAGAGAAAGAAAAAGATAACCTGGAGGGAAGCCAAGGCAAGAATGCAGCTGCTCCAGCTGCCTCCTGCCCCTGGCAGTGCCCACACTTACCATCAAAGGAGGCTCCCCATGGGCGGTGTGCCCATAAGGCCTGCTTCCTGCCCAGTCACCCTGCTGGCCCGCATCTTCCATCGACCTCGGACTCGCTGCCAACCCCAAACCGAGAGGGCTCCTCTCCATGTAGGAACTGCCCCCTACCTCCGCCCACCGTATCGTCATGGCTTGGCACGGGCCTGGGAACACGTGATGTACACAAGACCTGTCATGTGTTCGTCCTCCGGCACACAAGGGCCACGGGCTTCCCTGCCTGAAGGAAAACAGTCAACAGCAAAGGCTGAGGAGGAAGGACATGTGCGAGGAGGAGGCTGGGTTGGGAGTGATGCCAGTCAGTCCGCCTGCAAAGGGAGAAACGCCGGAGCAGAAAGGGAACAGGGAGAGAGTTCCGGGAATGCCACTAGGGGGCACTGGTGGGTGGGAGGGAGCCCAGGGGAATTATGCCAAGGCAGAGGCAGGGGAGAAGACCCAACACCGGAAGGATTCGCGGGACATCCAGGATCCGTGCCAGGCATGGATGTCTCACTAACCAGAAATGGGTGGACCTGGTTAAAAACTTACCCAAACATGAGCGGCTTTCTCAAAGTCATGATCAAAGGCTAGGCATTCCTAGTGGGCATCACAAAGACCTGGCACAAAGGATTTGTCTACAGGGTCAGCAAAAGGTTGGACCGTGCAGCTACTTAACGCAGGTGAACAATCCCAAAGTAGGTGTGCTTCTTTTGTGAAAAGTTCAGTTGCGACTAAGTAAGCTTGAACAACAACGATTCCTGGGGCTACTTTCAAAAAGGCTAACGTGTGTTGTAGCAAGAGTTTTCGTGGATTATAACCAACTTTGTCAGATGCAGATGTTGTTCACATGCAGCCATTTTATCCTAAATGTGGTAGCCTTTAAAAAGGAAGAAAATGGGCAACCTCCACCCCAGCCAGCAGGGGGAAGTGCCAGGGTGGGCAAGAAAGGCTATGCATGAGATAGCAAGGGGGTCTAATATGTTGAAGTTCTGGATTTAATGATGAGTGGAGATTTAATAGACCACAGAAACCACCTTTTCTGGCACAGACATGGAATCAAGGAGCTAGAAACTGGGAGTGAGACTTCAGATCCCAGGTTTCTTTCTCTGTGTCTCTGGAAAAGAGTAGTAATGAGTGATTATAGCAGGCCGGATTGAGGGCTTTCAAGAGTCAGGTCCCTCGAGATGGAAAGAATATGCACAAATATTTGAGAATGGTAAAAAAAAAACTGTTTGAGAAATCCTGGTGGGAAGAATCCTGGATTGATGAGAATCTTCAGAGTTTAGGACTGATTTTGCACAAAATTCACACAAGAGGGTTTTTTGTGGAGAAAATGGCATTTTCTGCACAATCTTCTATGGTTTTCTGCATAAAAAATACCGCATGCAAATTTTGCACAGCATAAGTCCTGAACTCCAAATAGTATCTGAAAACTGTCTATTTTTCAAATCCTTTCTCGCAGCGGGAAGAAAATTGCTAAAATTACTTGTTGCTTCTTTCAAGAAGAAAACTAGCAAAAAATTACACCCTTAGGTCTTCCTTCCAAAATACTGCTGTTTCAGACCAGCATGAGAGAACCCTTCTTTCAGAACACCAAACCTTTTCCTTACTTTTGACATTTTGAATGGACATTTCTAATGTTGGAGGAAAGGAGGGAGTGGAGAACAGAATACTTCTGCACCCTGCTAAGATCTCCATTCCAGTTCAGCAACTGTTAACAAGAACTTCAGCCTGCAAGGCAAAAAATAAAAGTTTGTTTCTAAACCACTTAGTTTAAGGTCTACGTTGGCCTCGTGCCCTTGTTATCGGTGGAACAATGCCAGTGTTGTTGTACCCAGTGACAGAGGCTGAGATTCTCCATAGGGATATCTGGCGGGGCAAGTTCTGCAACCCAGAAACCAAGGCAAGCAATGCAACAACACACCCACCTGGGCACAGTGGCACTGCCATGGGCACACGCCTTGTCCTCTCCAGCCAAATCACACCCAAATGAGTGGCCCTTGTCCCACAGTTAAAATCTGCAGAGCCAAGAAAGCACATGCTGCACAGAACCTCTCAGACAGGTGTCCTCATCCATACCCTCCCTGCTTCTCCAAAGAGCTCCGTCACCTTCTTCCTAGTCGCCATGACCCAATTCGGTGGCAAACCCGGCAGTTTGACCTACATCTTGATCGGTTCTTGCTTGCCTACCTGCCTGCCACCAAAGCTGGAATGCTAGTTCTATGTCAGGACCTCCTATCTCTCATTCTAAAAGCCCTTTCAGCCACAAAAGGTTGGCCATTCTCATGAGCAACCAACTGACCCATCAGTCCCTTGTCTTCTCTCATTCCTAACTTCCATGGCAATGAAAACTCACACATGGCCAAGCAGTTCTGCATGGCTACTGCTTCTCAATTCTTCCTGCAGCTCAAATCTTCCTTTGGGTATCAATTTTTTAATGTTCGGTTTTTAAATAAATCTCCTCCCCAGCTGCCAACAGTCTCGGCACCGCCATCCTCCACTTGCCCTTGGCTGCCCA